GCGTTGTGTTGTGTTGAGTTGAGCTCTGTTGTGTCGTGTTGTGTTGGGTTGCACTGAGTTGGGTTGAGTGTGTTGAGTTCCATTGTGTTGTGTTGTGTTGAGTTGAGTTCTGTTGTGTAGTGTTGTGTTGGGTTGCACTGAGTTGGGTTGAGTGTGTCAGGTTCCACTGTATTTATTGGGTTGGGTGTTTTGGTTGTTGGCTGGGAGTAGAGGGGTTACTGCTTTAGCCATGGTGGTCAGGAAGACTCAGAGAAGGAATGTTGAGCTGAGATCTGAAAAACAGAGCAGGAGGCAGCCATCTTGGCAGAAAGAAGAGCTAGACTGTTTTCTGTTTCTGCCCACTGGGATGCTGTAGATGTCGTCTTCAGGTTTGTCCTTTTTCCTAAGAGATAACCCTTCCAGAGCAGGGACCAGTAACTCTTTTCTGTGTGAAAAAGCCAGGACTCACACTGTCTAAAGCCCAGGAACAGCCAGCAGCAGCCTTCCTGCCCCTCCACCGGGGGCCCTCCTTCCTTTGCCCCTCCTCCAGTGCAGAAGCCCAATATTAAAGAGGACAAAAGCAGAGCTGCTCTGGTTGGGACAGGGGGGACATGAGGGGCAGTCTAGAAGCCTCTACCATCGGATTCTCAATGAACTGAGGTGAGGAAAGCCATGGTGTGGTCGGTGGGCCATCAGGAGACCCCAGCTGCCGCCAAGAGCCCAGGGGCAGGCTCTGCTCTAGTGGCCTCACTCCCAGGTGGTCCTCACTGACCTGCACGCGGGCCTCGGTGAGGTCTGTCCTCATGGCCAGCTGTTCCCGTGCATACACATCTGGGTAGTGGGTCTTCTGGAAGACCTTCTCCAGCTCCTCCAGCTGGTAGCTGGTGAAGGTGGTGCGGTTCCGCCGCTTCTTGCCCTTGTTGCTCTCTGAGTCGGCCTTCTCCAGTGGGCTGGGGAGGTCTGAGCTGGCCCGGTCCTGGGGCCCCTTCACCCCAGCCTCTTTGACACTCAGGTAGCTGCTGTCCATCCCCACGGTGTCAGAGTCGGGGGGTAACTCTGGCTCACCCAGGGAGCTCTCTTTAGCTGAGGGAGGAGGAAACAAAGTCAGAAATCAATGGTTGAACCAATAGGGTATGGGGGGGCACTTGGGTAGCCACCCCCTGCCTTTTTCCTCTTAGAGGCTCATTGGATGCAAGGTCAGGAGACTTAGCTTCTAATTCTGGCTTGCCATTAACATGCTGTGTGACCTCGGGCAAATCTCTTCCCCTCTCTGAGCCTCTTTGCCATCATCTTAGACTGGGTCCCTTCCAGCACCAATGTGATATGAACCCAAGTCAGCCAGTCTGACTTCTGTGGCCTTTATTCCCCACCTCACTGACCCTGGGCTCCTCTCTCTAGAGGGATTCCCTATGTCAGGATTTTTCTGGGCCCCGAGAATGCTGACCACAGTGCCATGGCTTCCCTGGATGGAAGGGAAACTCATTTAGCAGCCACGTCTGGCCCAGTGGGACTTGGGGTGAGGAGGACCCAGCATTGAAGCAGACAGGAGTGCCGCACCTTTCCCAGCCTAGTCACACTGGGGGTTCAGCAGGAGTTGTGGAGACTCTGTCACAAGAGTCCAGTGCTGAGGGGTCAACACCTCCTTGTCCGCCACCCCACCCTGCACACTGCTCTCACCTACTGTTCAAGAGAAGGGTCTTTCTTCCTTGACAGTGCATGGGATTGAGGCATGGGCCACATTTCCTGTTACAAGCAGCACCTGCCCACTATTTCCTGAGACTGCCCAGATACCTTCATCCCCAGTATGCTAATCCTGGGCCTGGGTGGGTGTACACGAGCACGGCTCCCAGCCTGGGCCCGCAGCCACTGTGCCTGACAGGTGGAACCCCATTGGCCCATTCCTAGGAGCTCAGGACTTCAAGGATGCATCAACCCATGCAGGTCAAGGAAGAGGAGGTGGAGGCTGGGGTGGGCAAGTGAGGCGGGAAGCCACTTTACCCCCAAACGGCCTGGTGAGCTTCCTGGCAGAGGGTTTAGGACAGCAGTCCTCAGCCTTTTTGTCAGCAGGGACTGGTTTCGTGGAAGAGAATCTTCCATGGATGGAGGGGGTGGTGGGGGAGAATGATTTGGGGATGAAACTGTTCTACCTCAAATCATCAGACACCAGATTCTCACAAGGAGCACACAACCTAGATCCCTCGCATGCATGGTGTACAGTAGGGTTCATGCTCCTATGAGAATCTAATGCCGCTACTGATCTGACAGGAGGTGGGACTTGGGGTCATGTGTGCTCACCTGGCACTCACCTCCTGCTCTGCGGCCAGGTTACTAACAGGCCATGGGCCAGATCTGGTCCACAGCCTGGGGGTTAAGGACCCCTGGTTGAGGGCATGGACTCTTTTTTTTTTTTTCTTTTTTTTTTGAGATGGAGTCTTGCTCTGTTGCCCAGGCTGGAGTGCAGTGATGTGATCTCGGCTCATTGCAACCTCTGCCTCCCGCGTTCAAATAATTCTGCCTCACCCTCCTTAGCAGCTGGGACTACAGGTGCGCACCACCATGCCCAGCTAATTTTTTATATTTTTAGTAGAGATGGGGTTTCACCATATTGGCCAGGCTGGTCTCGAACTCCTGACCTCATGATCCACCAGCCTTGGCCTCCCAAAGCGCTGGGATTACAGGCATGAGCCACAGCACCTGGCCAAGGGCATGGACTCTTTAGCCCTGCTATGAATCCTATGGCCATGACTCCCCAGCTCCGTGCTCAGGAGAGCTTACCTAACCACTATGTGCCTCAGTTTCCCCCTCTATAAAATGGAGATGATACTTACAGGATCTTCCTCATAGAGTAGCTGTGGGAAATAAAGCAGCTAGAGTGCTGGCTATGTAATTTTGCCATTATTGATATTCACATTTCTAGTCTGGACTTGCAGACCCACAGGCCCTGTGAGCATTAGGGGACTCTGACCCTGGAGAAGTCCTCCAAGCATTCAGGCCTTTGGGCACAGGAGCATGTGCAGAGCATGCACAGACGCTGAGGGAAGGGCAGCCAACTGGGTGTCTGCCGATGTGGGTGTGAGCTCCTTGAGAACCACATTCCTTGTCTGTAACTTGGGGAAAAGGAAGTGTATTGAGTGAAAGAACGGACACAATAAGACGTGTGGAGAGCATGTGACATGACCTTTCACACGCACAAGCTTTGATCATCACAACAAATATGTGTGGTAGGTATGAGCATTAACCACTCTGACCCTCGGTTTCTTCTTCTGGAAATATGTCCAAGCGATGGGCACTAAGCATCAGAACGATGCTTCTAGTTCAGGTCTTCTGATTCCAACCAGACCCTGAGGGATGCGGCTTCAGACTGTCTCATCCCTGGCTTTCTGTGCACATTGAGGAAGCTGAGAGGGACATTTGGCTTGTGGCATTGTCATCTCCCTCTCCAAGGCATCAAGGAAAGGACATGGAGATGTGTGCCTGGAGAAGGACTGAAAGCAGCTTCAGGAGGCTGCTCCTGAGGGCCGGCCACTGGCTGTGCAGACACCATGGGGGTGCCGGACCGGTCCAGTGGCATCATGCGTGACACCGGAGTGAGCCCAGGCACATGCAGACAGCCACAGCTTCAGTGACAGCATTATGCAAACTGCAGCTGGCAGTGGGGCCAAGAGCTTTCAGCAAAGATATTTATCTTCCTGGCAGACAAATGCATTTTATGTTTTGGATTTGTGTTTTTTTTTTTTTTAAAGAAATCCCACCCAGCCTCACCAAAAATAACCATCCCTGTTTTGCAACTTCCTGGAAGCCAGATGAGGGGCTGAGGGAGGTGAGCACTGAGCCCTGAGCCCTGATCCCCAGGCCCCATCTCACAGCCCCACGGACCCTCGCTAGGGATTGGGACCACCCTGCACAGCAATGGGAGCTCCATGTTACAGAAAGTGGGAGTTGGTATGGACCAGCCTGAACTCCTAGTTTTAACTGGGGGGAAACTGGGGCCAGAGAGAGGCGGGAACATACCCCAATTCTGGACAGAGCACAGCCTCTCTCTTAGCTCTTGGCCTGCCCTCTACTCCCTCCCCCAGGGTCTTGGGCTCTGTTCCCAGGGAGACAGGTAGTGGCAGAAGGAACCCAGGGGCCTCACATGGCCAAGGCATCCTGCTCTGTCCATCTGGTGGGGAGAAGGACCAGCCCTGAGGATGAGGGAGTAAGGATGCGCCTGGAGACAGCCTCTCTGCACTGAGCCGGCTCTCGGGCAGAAGGTCCAGTCTTCATGGTGACAGGTCAGGGTTCAGTTTTGTCCACCTCCAGCTGCCCACTGAGACCAAGGGTGCAGGCAGAGATAGAGGCAACACAGGGCGTGCAAAGACCACCAGCCCAAGACCTGGGAGCCCTGTGCTTGGCCCTCACTCTTCCTAGGACTTCAGATGACTCATTTTATCTCTGGAGTCTCACCTACAAATAGGGACAGCAGGGTGGTTGAGGATCCCTCCTCCCTTGCTCACCAGCAGCAGAGACTGTCCCTGAGGACCTGGGGAGGTGGGGGGAGGGGAAGAGGGGGAGGGTGCATCTGTGTTGGAGAAGCAGTCCTTCTAGCCTGTCTTGAGTCAGCTTGCTTTAAATTCTGTGCCGGGGATCTTCATTTAGACAACAACGACAAAAATTCCCCAAAGTTCTGTGGCTCCACTCAACCAGTCAGAATGACAGGCACGGCCCACTCAGAGTCTCAGTCCTCAGACCCCAAGCTCAGGCCATCTGTGTCCACCCCCTGCCACCCTGCAGCTTCTCCACCTGGCGCTGTTTCCAGTCTAGGGTAGCAGGGAGCTCACTGCCCTCAGGTGCCCCCAGGACAGTGGGACCATTCACCCTTAGACCCATCCCAGGTCTGGCTCATTGGTTCCAGTTCTAACCCCCCTGCAGACATTGGGAGGCTCCTGCCACTCCTGAGTCTTCCTCCCTCCTGCAGTTTCCACTGCTGTTCCTCGGGTGGCCCTGAGTTTCTCTGGCCCGTGTGAGACAGCGGGTGGCAGGGATGAGATGAGGGTGGGGCTGGGCCTTGGACAAAGCTGACAGATTGCTCTCTGAGGAGATGATCCGGGGCTGGCAGGAGAGTCAGTGTGATGGCCAAAGGCCTGGGTGCTGGTCAGATCCAGCTCCCCATGAGGCGCCCTCCTCAACAAGATGGCCCCTGAAAACAGGTTCCATGGCTCAGGCTGATTGCTCCTGACCAAAGGAAACCACTGGCCTTGGTCCCCCAAGTCCCCATCTCGGCCCACTGCCTGAAATGTCCCTCCTTCCAGGTGACCTCCAGGAATTCCAACGAAGTGCCAGCTCTTCCAGGAAGCCCTCCCAGATTGTGACTGTTTTCTGTCCTCTCCAATGACTGCCTGTGTTTGCTGACTCGTATCTCATCAAGCCCTGAATGTCGGGCTGGGACCTCATGCCATTTGTCCCTTCTCACCTGAGGCTCAGCACAGGATAGGTCAGGTGGCAGAGATGCAGAAGAGGTTGTTGAGGAATAAATGAGCAATTTCTAACAAACAAACATCACTGAGCTCTCACTCTGTCCAGGCGTCTGTGTGCACCATTGTGAGCCAGTGTTCTAGAGAGCATGTTGCAAATATCTGTCGAGTAAATGAATGAACCATCTCATCCTCCTACCCAATGGGGAGGAAGTTGGGTGGGATACATTGAAAAGGGGCATGCAGTGACAAAATGCCACCATTCAAGGCTGACTGCACAAACAGCTGAGGTCACTGAGGGAGAGAGGGGAGAAGAAAGACCCGGATAGACCTTGAGCAATGTCTCCATGCAGAGAGCAGGGGACGGAAGGAAAAGCAGAGACAGGCTTCATGGGGGCAGTTCTAGAATTGAAATCAAGGTCCCGAAACCCAGTCCACGTTCTGCCAGAAACCAGCTCCACACCTGCCCTGCCGCCACACTGGGGTACAGAAGGCCACCAGGGAGCTCTCAGCTTGCCTGGATGCTGGGCAAGCCTTCTTCAGAGCCTTGGGGCAGCTCGTGCTGGAATGAGGATGAGCAGCAACAGCGCCCAGCCTGGGTCCAGGCTACCCGCCATGGGTCGGACTTCT